CTTAATAATGTTATTTTACGGTAAATATATAAATCTTAAGAAAGAAGCTGATTCTTAATTCTGTCAAAACGGCCAGTGACGAATACATGCATGCATGCATTCCCGTAGTCAAATAGATCTGTATGTTGTATGTCTATATTTATATTCTATATTTATAGAACTGCATGAAAAGTATGAAATTGAGCTCGGCACAATTGTAAAAGTGACCATTTACTTTGCAGTTGATTATCCATGTGAACGTATGCATTCATGAAATGCCATTCCACGCTTGTGCCGTTCTATGTAAATCGAAAGAATAATAATAATAATAGATTGAAGCTGCTCATTAATAATTTTTTGAAATGATTTAACATATAAATAAAATCCATGTGAAAGTGTACGATTCCGATGTGACGGGAAAAATAAGCAGAGGTCAGTTTCTCATCTGTAAACACAAGAGAAAATGGTTTATCATAGACGCATGGACTTTTTTTGCAAGATAAATTTACAAGAACATTTATGTAAATTAAAAAGTTGGTTAAAAGCTACTAACTTTACGATACAGTATATATAGTCATTGTGTTCTGTACAGTGTTGGGAGGTCCGGAGGTAATGGGTTATCCAATTGAACTATTCCCATTCCACATTTGACCTTCTTTTTTCACCTTTCCGTACAATCTCAGTACAAAACTAACACGGCTTTGTCTCTCTGCTACATTTCTCGCAATAAATATATACATGTACTTAAATGAACAAGATACGAGATAATTACGAATTAAGCATCTATTAACAATTTTTTTCCGCGCCAGATTTTTTGGCGGTTTCATTGTGCATTAATAGATGCCATTCTGTTTACGTTCTATTTTTCTACTGTCGATAAACATGTAGCCCGGCTAGCGCTTAATTTAACCCATCAAACTCACACAATTTCGGTAGATTTTCGGTAGAATCCCATCATCTCATTGGTTAAGCCCTACCGAATATGACCGAAAATTACCGAAAATTAACCAATCAGTGAACAAGAGATTACCGAGAATCAGAAAATGGCGGATATGTACTATAGTATCAGCAGACTTTTAATTTTTACTTTCGTTTACTCTACGTATCTAATTTTATAGCTGGTGTTTAACCTTTTTTTGGAAATAATAGGTAAGATTCCACTCTATAATAGTGTCCAAGTTTATATTATTTACGATATTACGGAGATTGTAAGAAAAACTGACCATGATACATTTCGGATAAACTTATTCGGATGAAGTGAGACAAACGAATTTGATCTGTTTTATACTAGCAAATACATTTATAGTTTAAGGCCATGGTATCTTTCAGACCACCACCCATACCCCCATAAAAATAGAATATGTACCGTAGATTAATTTCATATTTCAATTTTCTAGTATATTCTTTAATATATTGTATGAAAATAATTGGAAAATAGACATACATGTATGGGTTCTTTCTTGGAGATTGCTTGGATGAACTTCACTTTGTTACCAATATTTTCCCTAACTGCTGTAGGTTCAACTTCCACCAAGAAGTTTGGATTCCTTAATAGGAGGAAGCAATATACATGTAGCAAGCTTATCATGGAATGTCTATGGTTCTACTAGTACAGCGATTTTTTCCCTATATAAGTGGTACCCAATAAGGGACCCTTTCACAATCACAAAAGGACCTTCACAATTTTCAGACTGGGTCCGACGGACCCGTTCACAATTCTGATGAAATTTCACAATTTTGATTATTTAAGCCATTAATAATGTTATTATGTATAATTAAGCGGTACAAGTCAACCCGGCCCCAAGTCAACCCGGCCCCAAGTTAGCCCGACCCCAAATTGGTCAACCCGGCCCCAAATCAATGTTATTTCTGGTCAACCCGGCCCCATTTTTTTATTATTTATTTTGCTTTAAAATGTTAACACTTTTCAAGAAATAAAAAAAAATTTACAACAAAAACAACAACAAAAGTTTAACGATGATATTTTTTATTATTTATTTTATATAAAAACTTTCAATATTAACAAACAAGCAACACATGCATAATTTACTGTTTTTACAATGTCCAATGCATACTTATACAATGTTCAATGTATAGTTCTACAATGTTCGTCACACACCCCTACAATGTTCCTCACATACAAACACCAATTCACTCGCCTCTTTTCTACCTAGTATGGGTCTAAACATGGTAGACACAATCTTCAATAGGGCGGTTTAGACATAATAATGCTGGTAAATTTTGCCTGTTGTGCTTTGTTTATCTTAAAATGTGTTTAGCCAACCATGATTTCTTCCATGAGTTCACAATTTGTTAAGAAATGTCGCTTTTTTTTACAATTTTTATGGTACCGGGCCCATTCACAATTCAGAGAAAAAAATCGCTGTACTATTATGCCTATGGTGCCTGTTCCCAGAAATAATGCACATAGGGGCACCTGATGTCTTCAACCAGTTAAGCTGTAAGTCACCATATGACTGTGACATAAAACTCGGTTAAGATTATGTATTATGTTTAACTTATAGTTATGCAACACATATTTCTTTACAGAACTTTGTTATTTAAGGCTTCATTTCTGTCACTTGTATAGAGCCTTAAAATTTAAAACTTTTAAGTAAATATTTAGTCGTTTTATACCCATTTCTCTGGTAAGTACAATATATTACAATTGATTGTTTATAAAGATAATAATTATGTTGTCAAATTGTTATTTTGATAAGTAAATAGCAATGATTATGAATGAAGCTCTTGAAGAAAACTTTCATTAGTTTGTCAATGATTCCTTTTATAACAGTAGACCAAATGATTAAAATTAAAGATATATTTTCACTAAATAAGCAAAATAATGTAATGATTCGTACTCAAAACTTTTCAAACCTAATTTTAATCGTGATAATTTATAATAATATGTTATGATGGTAATTCGTTTAAGTAAATCATTATCAATTTCTTTCACCTTAAACGGTAAAATAATGATAGAAATGTCATGTAACTGTGTTATGTACTTTATTTGGTATAATTCCCCAGAGCTAAATCCCTAACGTACCGGAAAACGGTGTTTAGCTAGGTTTTCGAAAAGGTCACATTTTAATATATTTAAATAAACTGTAAACAATTGTTATATTTGATATGTGATAAATAGAATGTAATATTTGTATAGAATCAATACTAAATTTATTGAACTTATTGATTTTTAACAATTTAATTTGCCAGAGGCTTGCTTACTTTGCTTTTATTCAACTTGTTCAATAAATTTGGTATTAAATCTACACTAATTAGATATCATCTATACAATATAACTTAACCCAAATATACTCCCCCCTAGTACTTTTGGCATTCTTTTTTTTTCTAATGAATACAAACATTTGATAATATTTCAAGTGAGACTGGTTTTACTTCAGGATGTTGGAACCGGTATTTAAGCAGACACAGGCAGGCCCCAGTTTGGCAGATACAGACAATGCCAAGAGAGTTAGGCTTGAACAGCGACAGCGTGTTTATGTGCCATCCCAGGCTAGTGCCACCAATGTCTGCTATCAAAGTGCGGGCCGAGGCCGAGGTTTCTGTACGGCGTGTTGGTGGTGATGTTTCGAATAAAAAACATTTGCTGGGGCAGTTCCGAATTCAGTTTGGGATATTCAGGCAAGAATAACTGAAACTATTTCCTTTTTTGGGGGGTGGGGGGGGGGGGGATGGGGTCTTAACTTAATAAAGGTTATCAATAGCAGATAGAAATAGCTTTTTTTTAATCTTTTTTATCATAGATAAAATATATATTTTAGTGCTCTGATTATTATTATTATTATAATGCAATGTGTATAAATATATGTTATATGATTGAATTATTAAACTGTTACTTTAACACTATATATAGGGGTGAAACCTTCCAGTGGCTTGCCTCAAATGCATTGGGCTATGCTGCGTACCTTGCTGCTGATTCAGAAAAAAGAGCCCACTTCATCTTCAGCAAATTATTTAAACAAGATGGCACTCAGGAACTATTTAAAACTGTTCCCAGAGGGAGTTGAGGCAGTACAGAAAAAGAAAACAGGAAAAAGCCAACTGTCAAAGTACAAGGTATTTTTTTACTACATTCTTAATTTTACTAAAGTGCTATTAATTGCATCCAATACCTTACCTTTTTATAAATGAGTCAGTTTATATCTGCCTCACATATTTATACCAATATCTCTATAAAAAATGCAATGTCTTGAAAAAAATTCAATAATTGTGTGAGTGTACATATATTGTGTATAGATATTGCATTGAATGGTAAATATCGATGACATTTCAATATTGCCATATTCAATGACAATCCTAGTATAAGGGGCTTAGGGGTTAACAAGGATCTCACAGCCACATGTTGCTTTTATATTTAGAAATGTGCTGGAAAGAAAACTTTTTAAATTTTGTGTTGTTTTGTTGTACTTTCATCATAGAAAAATTATAATAAGAACATTAATAGAAAATAACTCAGATGAAAAACACACTAATAGTATAATTTAATATGACTATTATCTATTTCAGCAACTACAGAGGTTCTGTCCAGCACATATGACCAAGAACTGTTGGCTGCAGCAGAACGAATGGAAAAAGAGGCAATGTGGTTTGGGAAATAGTGCATCCCAGATCCACAAAAAGCTTCAAGAACAACATAGCACAGAGTGGTACCAGAAGACCATACAGTACCTGTCAGCATGCAAGACTGTAGCAGGAGCTGCATCATCAGGGCTGGTTGAGGCACCACATTTTATCGAGCCACCAGTCATGGCAAGTGTACCTGAATACAGATGGCTGATGCAGGTCTACATTCAGGATGTCCTGCAGAGACTTCAAGAGGTGAAGGCGAACATAACATCAGTGTTTGGTCGTATTCTCAAAGTTGATTCAACAAAAAAGATCACTAAAAAATTATCAGGACCAACAACGGGCACAGCAGAATGGGCGACCAATGTGGGTAATGAGTACGGCCAAGTACTGATGTCAGTTTTGACTGCTGGTGAAGGTCGATTTGGGCTCATGAGGATGGCAAAGGTATGATATTACAGTTATGCTCTGATTATTTTTGAAGCATATAACATAAAATCCTCATACCATAAAAGGTCTCTAGCTCTCGGTCCTAGATGTTTCAAAAAGACATATCTTTTAGAGATTTGTAAGTATTTAGTCCGAAGACTATAACGATTTGCAAGTCATGCCAAATAATATGCCAATTACTGTCAAATATATTTAAAAAAAAGAAAAAAGATACAACAACATAAAATGGGTATTCATTGCAGGGTCTGATGAAGAGGTTTAGTGATGCAGGACATCCACCACCAGAGGTCATCTATGTTGACCGTGACTGCTGTGGTACGGCAAGCGGATTGTTCATGCGGAGGCTAAGCAGCTGTATCTTTGCCTGGGACAAAGATGATCTTCAAGCGCAGTCGGTAGAGCACGAGACTCTTAATCTCGGGGTCGTGGGTTCGGGCCCCACATTGGGCGTTACATTTTTCGAAGTTATAAAAGGAAATGTTCGTCAGTTTTACGAAAATGTGGAGCCGGTCGCAATAGTGCGTTGTTCACTTGAAACTTATTTTTAACTATACTATACAGATCGATTAAAATGAAGACGAAAACAAACTTGAGAACAAAAGTGTGTTCCGGTGCCGGGAATCGAACCTGGGCCGCCTGGGTGAAAACCAGGAATCCTAACCACTAGACTACACCGGAGACAACACGTCATTCCTATCGGGAAATTGTGTATAATGAGGATAAACGGAGCGGGATGAGCTATTTGATGTGGAAAACGATGTATATGTACGCAGCTGATAATATTATAGATACATGTCATTTGTTTATTTCTTTGTACATAAACAGCATGGAAATCAAACAAAAAGTCGTTGCTAAAAGTGTCCGGTTGTTTTTCTCAATAGATTCCGTTGACATGAAAAAGAATATGGGCTGGCTGAAAGATTGATCTATGTTTATAGATAATTGTCACAGTATTTTGTTCATTTAGTACCAGAGCTCTCATCGATGTTTGTCCACATTTTCTAATATTTTTTTATATATTATACACACGTAGGACCCGTAGGACTTATTTTACGGTAAAAATATAAATCTTAAGAAAGAAGCTGATTCTTAAAAAAAAAGCCGTTATTTCTGTCAAAACGGCCAGTGACGAATACATGCATGCATGCTTTCCCGTAGTGTACTAGATCTGTATGTTGTATGTCTATATTTATATTCTATATTTATAGAACTGCATTAAAAGTATGAGATTGAGCTCGGCACAATTGTAAAATTGACCAATTACTTTGCAGTCGATTATCCATGTGAACGTATGCATTTATGAAATGCTATAGATGCATTGACTTTTTTTGCAGGATAAAATTACAAGAACATTTATGTAAATTAAAAGTTGGTTAAAAGCTACAAACTTTACAATACAGTATATATAGTCATTGAGTTCTGTACATTGTTGGGAGGTCCGGAGGTAATGGGTTATCCAATTGAACTATTCCCATTCCACATTTGACCTTCTTTTTTCACCTTCCGTACACTTTCAGTACAAAACTAACACGACTTTGTCTCTCTGCTACATATATTCACAATAAATATATACTTATGTACTTAAATGAACAAGATACGAGATAATTACGAATTAAGCATCTATAAACAATTTTTTCCGCGCCAGATTTTGGCGGTTTCATTGTGCATTAATAGATGCCATTCTGTTTACGTTCTATTTTTCTACTGTCGATAAACATGTAGCCCGGCAATAGTGCGTTGTTCACTTGATACTATTTTTTTTAAACCAGAGTACAGATCGATTAAAATGAAGACGAAAAAAAACTTGAGAACAAAAGTGTTTTCCGTTGCCGGGAATCGAACTCGGGCCGCCTAGGTGAAAACCAGGAATCCTAACCACTAGACCACACCAGAGACTACACGTATATCAGGTATGACCATATTCAGCATGAAAGACTGCCTGGCATCGTTGGCGCTTCGGCTTGTGGAATGTTGTTCCATTTCTAAATTAAGGCTTGTCTTAGCTCAGGGTCTTTCAAATATATGAGTGTTCCGAATATAGCGGTCTTGGGCTTGCGTCGTGACGGGTGGACGTCCTCTACGTGGTCGATTTTCTGTACGCCATGTTGCTTAAAAACGTTGCCTAAGGTGTCGAATAGCAAGAGTTTCTATAGCGACGGCATTCATCGTCATACCAGCATTAAGCATGCCAATGCCACGGTCGCCTAAATGTTGCGGAAGTTCTAGGCATTTTAAAGATAAAGAAAACTGAACAAAAATCAAGGTCTTTTTCTTATTGACTTGAAAGTCCATTATATTGCACTGAAAGGTTCCATAAAATATGCACGAATCTACTGGTCCGTGCATGCACGTTTAACGGGTTTCTCTGCAAAATGTACGGAAGAGCATTGGTGCCAGGTGTGTGTGTTACTAACTCGAAATTTCGACTTACTCGAAATTTTGGCTTTGAAACTTTGCACACTTGTTCACCATCATTACCTCAACCTGTAAACAGGATGAGGTAACTGTATCAAGCATTTTGACAGAATTATACCCCTTTTCCGACTTAAAATTTTCGTTAAAGCTTTTGTAACACCTCAAATATTTTCAAAGTCCATTGACATATGGCTTTGAAACTTTGCACACTTGTTCACCATCATGACCCCAACCTGTAGACAGGATGTGACAGGATGAATCATTTGGCAGAATAATGCCCCTTTTTAAACTTTGAATTTGCATTTAAGTTTACATACCACCTCAGACATTTTCATATTCTATTGACATCTGGCTTTGAAACAAGTTAAAATTTTATACTCTTCTTTGAGAGCATAATAGGACTCTCTCCAAGGCCTATAACTGTAACATGGATTAAAAGAAAAAAATTACCCTTTTGTCAACTAAGAAAATTTTACATTATCAAGGCTCAAGCACTAAGAATAGTCGAGCGTTGTTGTCCTACCGACAGCTCGTGTTTAAAAGATATTTGTCAATACAATGAATTATATATACTTTTATTTACTCGGAATTTGATCCATATTGTGTTGATAAAGTTGATAAAAGTGGATACATGCTGGCAATGATATTAAAGCATCCGATTTTACAAGAAACATAGTCAGCCCAACAAATTTGACAAAGGCCTCAGCACGCCCTATTTTGGCCACACCGCGGTACTTCCTCAGATGTCCCACACTATAGGATCGTTTTATTCACAGGGATTAGTGAAAAGATATGTTCGAACAGATGGGATACAATACAACGCACGAACGTACAAATTAAAGGAAGCCTTGTGTTTTTGAGGTCGGGCGTGTACATGCCATTGTCAAAGTTGACCGCACTTTAAGGTTTACTTCAATAGTTTGTCCAGGCACCCGGCTCTCCATCTCCATCGTACAATCGCATTCCCTACTATATCTTATATTATCTAAACTCTTGATAACTCATAACTTTTTGGCCATTCTAGTAACGTTTCTTAGTCTAAATTTCGAGTTACTAAGTCGAGATTAAGATATACTTAGTCGCAATTTCAAGTTAGTAAGTCGAAATTTCGAGTTTATAAAACACACACCTGCCACTGATGCTCTTCCGTAATCGAGTTAAAATTTGTTTTATCGGACACATAATCGTTCGCCCGAATATATGTAGCTCATTTGACGTTTTGATTTTTTTAAATAACACTATATATCTCCGTTTAAACACAGGAGAAATTTCTTTTTATTGTTCAGTGTATGATATTATGGTACATATATATTGTTCAGAAAATACATGTTTATACAGTTTATAATTTGTGAAAACCAGAAGAGACATTGTATACACGTAGTTAACAGTGACGTAAGCCTGAAACGATTATAATTATTATATATAGTTTATGAAATAGATATGTAAATGGAACTATTCCTGTATACAAAATAAAATGATCATGCCCCAGCTAGTATTCTCCAGTGAATACTATAACCCTCCCGGAGCGGATTTGCTCTATTATCTGTTATGTCAATATATTATTGAATACATATTGCATTTTGTGATAAGACATTACAGATAAGTCTTTTGGCGCATGTTGTATAGGTAAACTTATACATAAATCGGTCGAGGTTTGCGTCTATACATAATCTTGCCTGTGTTTATTTTGTAGTGTAACATTGACGCATTTCTCTCTTACCTATATTTATATATATATTCCGCATGTTCTTTTCATATTGAAACAATATGTTGGCGAAACACTGGTAGCACTAAGGAACTTATTATAATGGTACGGTTTATACGAAGTATTTAGTGTATATACATTTCGCAGTTGATAGCTCGATAAAACGTTTTATGTACACGTGTTTTAAAACTTGTATGTAAACTATATAAATGACTAATAAATAGGTTATTAGAACAGTGGAGTATATCGATTTTAAAGTTGACCTTCACGAATTTAGTTTTGAAATGCTGCAATGTCATTTACTGAAAATGTTGGCATTTCCTCAATGGTAATCTGACGTCAATAAGAAGGTAGAAAGATACGATTATTTTCAGTCGTAATTTTATCGCAGGACAAATTACAATTATACTTTACAACGGATTATAATAAATGAAGAGCGGATAGCTTGCCGTGAAATAGGAAAATAATGTGCTGGATTTAACAATCAAACTGGCTGCGTGGTCGGAAATTAATCAGGGCCAGTTTTGCAACTTCCAATTGCCCTTGTTACGGACCGTTAGTGTACTCGAGCCTGTGACATTGGTTGAAAATACTTCAAGGATGTCGTCATCTCTGTTTACAATCAGTTCCAGTGACGCTTCTAAATTAGTGAAAAACCAACGGAAACGTGAAGATGAGAAAGTTTGCTTTCTGTTACAAGTGTCATTCCAGTCAGTTTATAGCGATACCCCGATTCCAAATACGTGTTTGAAAAAGTTACCGCGAATACTTAATGGCATTCCTTTGGGACCCGGCTTAATGGCACGGGACCAGTTGGAGAGTATACGTTGGCGATACATTGAAGGTGGAACCAAGTTACATACTTTCATCTCAGTGCCAATGTACGAAGACGAAGCAGAAGAGGCGAAAAGATACCTAAAAGACGGACTGATGAAACAATCACAGGCTGTTTTTGGTGACATAACAGTGAAAGCTTCCGTTATCTTGTCACATTGTATAAATTATGACGATGATTTAATCATTAACGACATCGCCGTGCATCTAGATGAAGGACTACATTTTAGGGACTGATGTGCCAAAGGATTTACTGTAGTATCCCTACGCTTCGGGGCCTTAAAGACGTATAATTGAATTGTGTTAACAGTTAAATTCAGTTCACACACACACACGGTACTCTTTTTCGCGTGATCACGCATATCTTTGTAGCAGGTCAAATCATTGTTATCATTCTGGAAGCCTGCAGTAGCATGTATTAATTGATAACAGAAATTGTCATTTTAAATTTGGAAATGATATTAACATATTATTATTATTAACATATTTTATGATACAATTCGTGTCCAATGTATAATTTGAAATCGTTACAAGTTTTGGCACGACCTTCATAGACAAAGTGGTTTTACAAATGCTTAATCGTATATTTATTTACGGACGATTTAACCCTTAATGTCTTTCATGAATGTATAGATTTTTGTTTACATACTGTTATATAGTAATATTAACATTTTATTGTAATTTTTGTTGACTTTTTAAGTTCGTTGTTAATTAATATATTGACCTATAGTTATATGTGTTGCAGTGTTAAAGTTATTGCGTACTGATATATTGTATTCTTTTATTTTTCTATCCCCATGTTAGCAGAAGGATTTTTAGTACATGAAACTTATGTTAGAAAGAAAGAACAATATTGATACAAATGACGTAACGATTAACCAAACAAATTAACTAGTTTCTATTTGCGTAAGGATTTCGAAAAACAAATATGAGCCGCGTCACGACAAAACCAACGTAATGCGTTTGCGACCAGCATGGATCCAGACCAGCCTGCGCATCCGCGCAGTCTGATCAGGATCCATGCTGTTCGCTTACCAACCCTATTACAAGTAGAGTGACTGACAGCATGGATCCTGATTAGACTGTGCGGATGCGCAGGCTGGTCTGGATCAATGCTGGTCGCCAACGCACTATGTTGGTTTTGTTTTGACGCGGCTTTATAGTCTGCTGGCGGCAACTAATATTACCCATGCTAACAGTGCAGACTAAGATCAGCCGGAAAATCCTTGCCATCTGATCATGGTCTGCACTGTTCGCTATTAAATCAGTACTTACCTTTCTAAAAATGATGAATGACTTTGTCAAGAATGAAAGACAAGATATTTAGCACGATAAAGATTGAAATAAATACGTCTCATTTTCCATATACATAGAAAACGGGGGCTAATCATTTAATTGTAAGTGTCTTTGTACTTTTTTTAAAATATACAAGAATATAAGCCATGAAAATATTTCAATCATTGTCATGGGTGTATGGACATACAAATTAAGTTAGGCTTATTGTAGCTAATTGCTCTAATGAAATGACATGTACCATTCAACTTTATGTGCATGTTGAGTATACATTCTTTTGGTTCATGATAATCTTAATTATTATTCTACTGAAATATTTCAATGTATTTTCGACTGTTTTCTCTTAAAATTAAACCAACATTTTTCAAGTCTTATATATTTAACCAATTTTTATGTCAATGAAACATTACATTGTTAAGTGCGGTCTTTCTAGTTTTGAAGTTTATGTTCCGCTCCATACGGTCAAACTTGTCCTAAAAGTCCATCAATCTCAAAACAAAAACTTTCTCCAAACAAAAACCGTCTCCGAATATAGACCATCAGAAAATCTGTATAAAAATTGGAAACAAAACATTTTCAGTTCAACATCAATTATTTGAAAAGCAAGAATATCTCTTCCAAGTCATAACCTGGCTACAAAGGCCTCTATTCCGAATTTCCTTACACTGGTCTTTTTTACAGGTTTGACTTTATATTCCTACTTTATGAATTATCTAATTTCTCCTCATATTTGGATGATTTATGAAAGATGAAATAGAAGGAAGAAAATAAGTTAAAATTTCCTTAATTTGAAAATGACAGCTTAATTGCTTCCTGAATATTCTAGTGTGTAAAGAGAATGGGAAATTTAATACACGTGGTGTGACTTGAAACAAGATACATGTCACAATTGTTTTATGCGGGGTATTTTATTTGTACGTAGCACGTTTATTTACCTGGTAAAACGCATTAGCTAAACTCTAAGTACAAACCCCTTGAAGAAACGCTTCACTTTGAAGAAGAAAAAACACACCTTTTACATGTGCAATAACTGCTGTGTATTTTCTATATACAAAATGTATTATAAATATTATTTTTAAAAACTATGAACATTAAAATTGTAACGATATCCTAGAAATAAACTTAATATAATCATAGTAACAAGAAAGTGCATACGTCACGTGAACATCGACGAACCAGTTAAAACCAGTTAAAAATGTTTTCCACTGTTTGTCATCATATTCTATATTATTAATTGTATAAATACCTGAACAAATTCTTGTCCAGCAAGCACTACCATAGAATTCTGGCCGTGTAATTATATATCTTAAAATACCGGTAACAAGAGTTGTGCTTGTGCAAAACAAGTTGGATCGTATCAATAAAAACCTCTTACTTGCCATTAAGTACAGTTAAACCTGTATTAAAGACAACCTTCAAATAAAGATCACCTGTAAATAAAGGCCATCTAGTTCTACTTCAACAACCCTTCATTGATTAAATATAACAAAGTAACCTCCAAATAAAGACCACTTGTCTATAAAGGTCATGTTTTGTTTCTCATTTGGATGGCCTTTGTTCACAGTTTTGACTGTGCATTAAATATACATGTACATGGTTTTCACGACATTACAGCTGGCTAGCCGTATAGATATCTTCCAGCCAGTCTCTAGTTCAAAAGAGTCAATATAATTATCAGGACGTATGACCATTTCATATGTAACATGTTTCAAATATAACAGTTCGCTAAATTATTCATTACAGAAAATCTGAGAAGTCGCTAAAAGCTTAAAACTTTTCATGTAGGGATCGCATATCAATAAAATTTTAATGTAATGTTTCAACAAAAGGTTAAGAAATTCTTACGCCGGCCCTGTTTACAGTATACATGTATATCATTATGTTGACCCACAACATTATGAAAATATGCCCCCATCATCATTCAAGAGCTAGAAATACAATATATTGTCTGTCTGATCACTGGGAATGGATGATTTGAAAAACAAAACAACACACAACTGTGTACAATTTTAGACTCATAAAGGATTTCGAATGGAATTTTAGGCAGAAATCGAGTGTTCCCGAAGGATTCCATACATTCTAGCTACGGTGTCTATGTCGATTTGGCTATTTACAACCCGAATAACTTTCTTTAAATTTGGATTCGAACATTACTGTTTTAACTTATATTTTATGTCAAATTTCATAGAAATGCATTCTTTCCACTTTGGCTTCACGAGTATGTACGCTAAAGGGCCGATTAATCTAAATTTAACATAATATGAGTCATGCCATAACAAAACCAACATAATAGGTTTGCGACCAGCATGGATCCAGACCAGCCTGCGCATCCGCGCAGTCTGATCAGGATCCATGCTGTTCGCTTACCAACCCTATTACAAGTAGAGAAACTGATAGCGAACAGCATGGATCCTGATCAGACTGCGCGGATGCGCAGGCTGATCTTGATCCATGCTGGTCGCAAACGCACTATGTTGGTTTTGTCATGACACGGCTCATATAAAAGGAAACATACTAAGGGGCCGATATGTTGGCCATACGATTTACTCACATCAAATAATTTCAAATAATTTGAAAGACCCTTTTCAAACATACACATTCTTAAGCTTATTTACTAACTGGTATTTCTTCTCCACATCTCTTCTATAAAACAAAACAAACATTGGCATCACACAAGACACATTTATCATGATTACTTTTTGGCACCAAACAAACCCAACCATCGTTAGGAATAAGGAATGGCAATCATTGCGTATAATTGCTATATTTATAAGCATTAGTGTTATATTATTATGTTATCCAATTAATTATCATTACTAATTATCGTCAAAGGTCGGTCATTACGTCATATAAAATGTTATCACTAAAGGTTAATGGTGGGGAACCCTAAGGCAATAGACGGGATTCTCAGCTATTCTATCAGTCACTGGTCTTACTTTGGTTAATTAATTACTTACGACTGATTTATCTACGCGTTTTATACAACATAATTAGCCATATTGGAATAAGTACGGCTAGGGTTATCAAATTATCATACATGTAATTATCAACACAGATTTACTCCGTAGGGAAACAGAGCATCCTGTGGACCTTTAATAGGATAAATATGAAGGCACTCGTATCAATTTATTTTACTATACATTTTCCATTATTTTAACTTATAATTACATTTACTAGTATTACAGTATCATTTATCAAGAGGATCGAATACATGACATGTTCCAAATAGTTACTGGTGCGTCTATCTTTCATTTTTGCTCTAGCTAGTTTTTGTTGTTGTTGTTGTTACGTGTCTTAAATTTGTTTTTGTTTTTCGTGGGTTTGCTTTTATTTATTTATTTTTTGCACTACATATATTAATATACATTCTCACTTCTTCAACAAAATAATTCAAATCAGACGTGCCTGTATGTCATCAACATTAACTACATAATTACATTTGAATATTTAAAAACAACCTACATCTGTTTGACATTTCACATATTTATCCAAATTCTGGGCGCCGAAGTTATAGAGAGCACTGACTAAAGTCGAATATACCTGTAAATATTTTCTCAGCAGTGCCTGCCAATACTCGTAATAGCAAGAAAGTTGTGGGAGCAGAATAACAGCAATCAAGTGAGATGTTTTCTCCACACAGACGTAATGATTTCAATAAGAGTAAATATATACTGACATTTACCTGGAGATATAGTAAACTTGTTTATATACAAACCTATCCGTAACCCGAATTTCTTGAATACCAGTCAACTAGGCTTGCAAAACATCGTTAATTCATGTGATACTTGCATCCGTCAATATAAAACATAAATGTGTTGGTAAAAAAGAAAGTATATAATCGTTTCCAACAGTTTTCGCTACCTTCGGATTTAGAGCCCCTATGTTCCGAATCTGTATGTGCGAATTTTCAAGAAGTCATTACATGTAATTTTTTTATAATGATAAAGATCGAATATAACGATGACGGTCGTGGGTCCAAATGGTGCCCATTTCTGCCTAGAAAAAGGCGCGGGGACGTCGCTTGTACCTTAATCTGGAAAATCGCCACACTATTCTAAGCAAAAAAATCAATTTTTACCTAAAACGAATGCTTCTTATACAATATTTGACATTTATAGACATGTGACATTTCCTACAAAATTACTAGTATCGTGTGTCCATCCAAATAATTACATTTAGTAATGAATCGGTCACAGGGACTAGGTTACTATATGTTTAAAAGTTTTGAAGAAAGATAAAAATCTTTTGTTGTCTGTAACCATGGTAATATAGAACGCTTAAAACTTTTTTCAGATCTTCATTTTTGTTGTAAGTTTTACGTCATACGTGCATGTATGTATGCAATATGTATGCCATGTGGCGAATTTCCAGTTGTTATTGTGAAAGAACACATCAGGTGGCCTGCATATCATTACATTGAGCCGCGTCACGACAAAACCAACATAATGGGTTTGCGACCAACATGGATCCAGACCAGCCTGCGCATCCGCGCAGTCTGATCAGGATCCATGCTGTTCGCTATCAGTTTCTCTACTTGTTATAGGGTTTGTAAGCGAACAGCATGGATCCTGATCAGACTGCGCGGATGCGCAGGCTGGTCTGGATCCATGCTGGTCGCAAACCCATTATGTTGGTTTTGTCGTGACGCGGCTCACATTGATATCCTGGATGTCATGCAGCTGTATTCCTAATGCGAAATAATGCAGAGGGCCAGACAAGAATCTAGATTTAGTATATTCTACGTGTATATGTATATGTGATAGATACGTGCTAAGACGGACAAAATTTAATGTTATTGAAATTCTTTATTTTGTTGGTTTGGTCCGGTTGTATTGGTTGACTGACCCGGCCCGACTAGACCTATTTTAAATGAGTTGAGTTAGCGCGACACTGCAGCATTTCAGTGATGTACCAGTAGACAATCAATTAAACCATTGCTCGTTAATTTTGTACTGTTTTCTTGAGTCGACAGGATGAAAAAATTATTGTTGAACTTAAGGCATTATTTTCACATTGTCACCAAAAACATGAATCCGAAGTCCCTAGACTTACACCAGTGTTAACTAGGATATACAGCCGTCGTAAATTGATAAGCAGTCGTACAGTGATGAAACATGTTAAGATCATTACATAATGAGAATAATCGGTTAAATGTGCGTCCTTAATGTGAAATAAGCTGGTATTGAATGATGGTTAACAGTCGGCAAGATTTACATATCCAAGATAAAGGACTATTGGCATTCAGCTTAAATGAAAATCCCGCATTCTATATACGTATATAATACCTGAAATATTATGACTGCACCAATTCCTTAAATGTCTTCAAAAGATATTAAACTGATTAAATATTGCATAAATCTGTTTACAATATTCATAAGGCAAAATCTTACGTTCTTGCATATCGGCGCTTTATTAGTTGAATGGTTTATCTTTTAGTATTATAACCGGATGATCTTCTTAATCCCGTGGTTTATACAGTATAATATATCAAATGTAAATCCTAGATTAGAATTAAGAATATATGACGACAGTCAGCTATCGTGTCGGTACATTTGTCCTTAATTACCTCTAAATATTCAAGGGCAATATCTGCATGTGTCAACAACCACGTGCAGTACTCCATATATACTCCTAGTATCAATAACCATTCAATGATAAACGCTTAAAACTACATGTACATTTTTCGGCACGTAATATATCGTATTTAGTCATTTTTTTCCCGAAAATACACATGTATATTAAAACAAGTCGGTGTCTTGCCTTTGTTTATTTCAGAAAATTTGTATATACATGTGCATCTTTGATCCTATAATTAACCTTTGATTTTAAGTTTGGGGTTTTCTTAGGCATCCGGTACTTTTCAACACTGACATCTTGATTATTTAAGCCACTAATTACTAATAATCCCAATTTCTTGTGATGAAAGGTATTTATATAGGGAAAACAATATGCTGTGAACACTCCACAGTTATGTTGGATCCAGATTTGTACCCGCTTTGCAGGTTATATTATGACAAGAGATGATTGCTCCACAGATGATGTGTTTGTTCCAAGGGAATATCGGGTCCAGAGGTGATTTAGCACAACTGGCAAATTAGCTCCACAGGTATGTTGTAATCAGATTGTAAGATGTTGTAAGATGTGATTGCTCCACAGATATGTTAGATCAATAGGTGCGTTTATGCAATCCAGAGGTGTTAGCTCCACATGTTTGTTGTGGCCAGAGGTGCGTAAGCTCTGCGGGTATGTTGTGACTAGAGCTGTATTACATGTAGCTCCAATAGGGTAGGGATCCAGATTTTGATAGCTCCTCAGTCATGTTGTGTTTCGGTCAAGCATTACGGCCCTGACCTACTTTACAAAAATAGTATGGCTAAAGTCTGCCACCATGAAGACTGACAAGCAGAGATAAGTTTCTTGGCGGGCATGGACTGACAATACATGTATTAAGAAATAAGGCACAAATCAAGAAAACTGTTCAAACGTTCAGGACACTACACATTTATTACAAATACGACTACTATAGTAACCTCCCCTGTCTTCAGCAAGTTCTATTGCATTTTTTTCTGAAAATGCACAGGACATAACCTTCAAGTTTGTATTTTCAGAAAATACTCTGTAAACTTTTACATGGGAGTTTTAAAGTAACAAATGACCTGAAGTGCCAAAAAGGAAGTGTAAATGAAAAGCAAAAAACGCCATAACAGCATAATGGAGCGTTACTTTGAAGTACGGCCAATATGCCCATATAAACCCAAATAGTAAAAAATTAAATTCTTAAGTGACCCAATTTCAAGCTGTTACAAAGCAAACTCGCCTTTCTTTCTAACATATTTAATATAATCATATACAATACAATACAAAAATAAGCATCATTTCTTGTGCACAAGGAACATACACATACTTCACTTGTTGTTTAGTGTAATAAATACAATTGCCTAACGATTTACAAACTTAATTCAGCAAAGTGCTTGAGAGAAGTATTCTTTTGAGGAAAATGTCACTTTCCTAACAAACATCCAGCTTTTACTTCAAAAGTATCATCTTGACATTGGAGTGAAGCCAACGCATCAACACAAAGTGTATGATGTTAAAGTCATTCTCATTGGCTCATTTGAGATTCCATTGTTTTTAATAACCAATCAGGTTGTGTAACTGTTATTTTTTCAATGATGTTATTCACTTGGAAACACAAGCTCTGTATTTGTTTATCCCAGGTTGGCAATGTCTCCCGTGCTGAAATTTTAATTTATACATTAATAAAAGGTATATTGCCAAGGACTGTGTTGTTTTTTTCTTAGAGCCTGTAAGAGTCGAAAACACAAATTCTTTCTATCATTGACTGATTTTTTTTTTTTATTGCCTACCAGTTTATCTGAACTTAATACCATGCAGTTATCATATGAAAACTTATTTCAACACAATATGTTTTTCAAACAAAAATCAGACTGTACATTGAGATAGTATAACTTGTATTAATTTGAGCCTCTAGATTTTGGGTAACAATCCTACAGAGAACATTCAATAGAAATAGAAATACTCTGAAACTCTGGAATGTGAATATTCCCATCTAATCCCAGGGTTAACAAAAACTTTTACAGAACTACAACTTGGTAAATATAAATTGGTAAAAATGTATATTGATAATAAGCACAAGACATTGGTCACTCCATTTTGAATGGTAGTGCACAGTGTAGCTTTAAAGTGAATTGCTCTGAAGTGAAAGGTCTTTAATACCATAAATTTGGTTGCTAATATTGTATCACAAGTGACAACAGACCACAAAATAATTATATATAAATGTTGTTTGTGTGATATACATCACCTTGAATTACATATCAACATATAGCAGATTGAAATTTGTTCTAGAACAAAATATTGTTTTTCATCATATATATAATTTTTCATTATATAAATGGTCATAATATTAACTCACTTAGAACTATGTCAACATTTTCCCAAAAATTACTGTATATAAGAATATCTAAATAATAATTTCTATAGTTTGTATCTGTATTTGAAATACTTTCAGAAAATGTGCCCATTGTAGAGCAATCCATTTTAACAGAAAAAGTTTGTTTGTACCCTGGGATACGATGAGAAAACACATATTTGCACATCTGCAGAGTTCCAAAAAACATCTACTCTTTTAATTAAGGAAACTAAGTAATTAACATGCTAAAAACTGTGGTTTTGCTCAAACACCAGTTCTTGTTTGATATAATGAATGGAATAGTATCAGAGATATCTCTCAATAAAGTTCAAGTTCCAATATAACCTAAACAGTACTTGTGTGACTTGAAATCCAAACAAACATAAGTAAACTTACATTCAAAATGAACAATTGAATCTATCTGGTCTATGTAGCCATTCATTCTGCCCTCAGTGATCATCTGGGATGCTATCTTCTCTGCCTAAAATGTTCAAGAGTTTATCATTCATTACTCATTTCTACATTATGTGATATCTTGTTGTTTGTTGAAAACAACTCTGTGAATGAGTAGTACAAACAAATCACATAAATTTGTGCAAGTAAAACATATTTTACAGTGGAAATAGTCATCACATTTCTTTCTATTCACTTATTTACAGCTCACTCAAAACAACAAAAGCTCACTTTATTTCTAGTGACAAACCTAAATATTTACCATGAATAAATTTGTAACCGAACTCATCTACAATAACTTATCCACATGGGGAAAACAACATAAATTGTGAGAAATATCTTCCTTTATATTTGGTTTAAGATCCAATATTTCAATCTGTGTATAGTTTTACCTGATTTGTGGAACAGATCTATTTGTCCCAACCTTATTTATTATGACTTTCCAGTTTTCATTAATGTCTGTATAACATATTTAATTTGCCCTTTTTTGGTCATGATTAAACAGTAGATTTCTTTTCTTCACCAAACTCTTTATCAGTCAAAATTTTCATAAGATTACAACTTTTAATATATATTTCATATACATTTTGTATCTATTTTTAGATACATTGTATATTGTGATGAATGGTTGCAGCATATCTGAACCACTGTCAAATATGCTTCCTAGTACTAACACCAAAACTGGACAACTGGAGCCATAGTTGGAAACAGTCCCGATTCGTGATCCCTGGGAGTGGGAAGCAGACACCTTAACCACTATGTAACAGTTCCTCTTCTATCTGAATCTGGAGTAAAACACGAAAAAGCTAGTTTTGAGGTTATGAAACTTTTTTTCTGAGTTTTGTCTCAAATCTCAGTATTTCCATAGGTCATTAGAAATTCTGTGGCAGTTTCTGAACAATCAAATACCCGAGATCTGAGTTTGCACTTATTATTTAAGTATTATCTTTATAACCTTGGTCCTATTATTATACTCACTTTAGCTGGAGGAATTTCTAGAAGAGAACCAAGTTCTGGGAAAGAAATGTTGTTATAAAGTTTACTTGCAGACAACAGATTATGTTCTATCACTGCTCTATCCAAAATGGTTGATCCTGAAATAAGTAAAATAAGGATCAAATTAGCATGGCATTTGCTTTCCTTTAGTTAAACCTTACCACAATTTAATATCTTATATAAATGGACTTGTCCACTCTTCAACCTCGACCAAACTTTTTTCTCATTTTAAGGAAAAATTTCAAAATATCTATTGACTAAATAACATACAGCAAACAGTGCAGACCAGGTCAGATGACACAGATGTCCCAGGCTGATGTTGGTCTGCACCGGTGGCATAGGTAGAATCTGTTGCCACCAGCAAAAAAAAGTGTTTAATAACATGCTTTGAAAAATAGACATAATTATAGTAGAACGAAAACTGTACATTAGAATTTATATAAACTTTGCATGATCTAAGAATTTGAAAACAAAAACATTTTAAGCAAATTAAAAAGATGGCCACAATTATTTTTTCTGAAAAAGGTAAGTTAAAATAAATATGAATCAGCCTACCATCTGCAGTGAGTGCTTTCTGCTGTTGCTGCAATAAAGCTGAAAATTCTACCAACTCACTGCTACGTATAATTCTGTCTAAGTACCTGAAAATATACATAATACATATTCAGAGTATATGCAAACTTTATAATACCTTTAAACACACTATAAGCTAAAAATGTCAAAAAAAAATATTTGGCATAATTAATCAATAAATAATAATTAATGAGAATTTAATTTATGAATTCTGGCATATAAATCATGGAATATTGTTGTAATATAAGCTTGATATACAGTAAAAACTTACATTTTCTCGAGAATATTGTATGCAGGTAACTTCTGGCATCTCTCATCTTTAAACAATGTTGCCAGCATCCTTGACCTTTGTTGTCCTGAATAAAAGTAATAAGAACTGGTCATTAATATGTTTTATGTATCTAAAGTTATTATATTAAAAGAAATTACCACAGATTACCATACAAACATACAATTATGCTTATACTCATTACTTGTAGTAAAACTTTAACAATTTAGTTCTTGTCATGATATAGGAAAGTCTGTCAATGAATCACTTTTGACAAAGACATGCAACAGGGAACCATTATTCATCTATTAGCCAGCTAGGTGGCTTCTCACGCAAAAATACTGCCCCAGTAGTAATCAGCTAAACAGGAACAAAGGAAGTGATAGCCAAGTGATTTTAAGTCAGCCATCTTAGCCAGATTTTTTCATTATTGCTGAAGAGGTCAAGTGAATGCTAGTAGTAGTAATGGTAGTGTTGGTAGTTTTCACTCCAGATCACGGCAGTAAGCCACATTGAATTTACCAGAGCACAGTTCAGCCATCACATACTTCCTGGGCAGGCTGTCAAGCAGTTTACCAGTACTAGTTGCCTTCAATTTTGCAAGGAACAGATTTCTTTTGTACATGCAAAAGCAGAGGTACAGTGCTAATGACCGTAGAAAGAATCTCATTATCAATCACAATGAAAGTGAATGCTACATGTTAAATCTACAATATATACCTACCAGCAGAGGCTAGCACTGTACAGGTGAGGGCATTCCTTAAAGCTGTCATCCGTTCCTCCTCAGCTATTATACTTTTATATGACAGTTCATTATATCTAACAGCAGCCTCAATAAACTTACGACGAAAGTCCAACACCCGGGCATAACATGCCTATAATAACACAAACACAGAAAAAACAAATTTTGAATACAGTACTAAGACATAAACAAAACATCATAATTAATTACTTGCTTTATCAAATGGAAAACATATAAATCTTGTCACATGTTACTCGAGATCTCAATAACATTACAACACATTTGTAACTGTTTAGCTCTAAGGAACTCTGCAGAATCTCATTAAAACAAGAGCATTAATAATCCATGTTAGAATTATGGGGCCTTTAACAGTGACCTCTTATTATTTTATAGGGTTAACGCACGTTTTTCCGTGTTATAACGTCTGCAGAGTCCTGAGGAACGGTTGGTGCCCGAGCCTGGTAGGGCGAGGGCTCCAACAGTTCCGAGGGACTCTGCAGACTTTATAACACGAAATAAAAGTGCGTTGACGCTATTATAGCATAAAATTTTAAAACAGATTTATGATGTATATTATATATAAAACACAAACATTAAATCCTTGTGCTTGAACGGTATTTATCCAACTCTACATGTTTTACGTATACGTTTTATTTTTTCCGGGGCCAACAACTTGAGAACCGAACGAAATTTCGAATTTTAATTGATTTAACAAAGTTTAACTTTGGAGATATATTAACTTAAGAAAAACATAACATTACTCTACCAAAGACAAAACAGGCGCCTCAGAAATTCCTAGAATGGTTACAGATTGGCGGTAAGAAAAAGATCAGTGACATCAGATTCAATTTCAGAATCAGTTTTTTTTAAGCACGGAAGTTTAAAAAAAATCAGGCATAAAACATTATTCTCTCAAAAAAACATAATGAACATTTATCAATATAAACGTCAATAAAACAACGTTTTCTTATATTCATTTTGTGCTTTCCATTTTTGTAAGTTAATCGGGGGATTAAACTGAATGACAGATTCTATTTGTTTACATTGACAACTGTCTGTTTCTAAGAAAGGGCGACAACCAAGATAAGGGGCGATGTCTATACGCCGTATCGCCGGCATAATTACTTGAATATGCGACTGAGGCCCTCGAATTAATAATTCCAATATAACAAGAGCGCATGACTCTGGCAAACAGGCCAAATCGTCATTTTTTGTTTGTTTTCTGGGCCCTGCATGTATTGCGCATAGGTAAAACCGGGCTATAACAAGAGCGCGTGACTATGTTAACGCATGGTTTTGGCCCCGTTATAACATGGGCAAAAGAGGGAAAAATAGCCGATTTTATGCAATAATTTGAGATACCAACTTGCACACAAAAAATTAACCAAAATGTAACACTGACACCTGGGTAAGTACAATAGCTTTCCCTATTCTTCAAATATATAAGCTAAAAAAGCTATCTAAGATTGTTATTTTCCAAAGTAAGATTTTGAAAGAAATATAAAAGTACCTTATAATGTATCTGTAATTCATGATTTTGTGAGTCGGTCTGTAATAGTGAAGCACGGTTAATGTAAGCCTCTGCCTGAACCGGATCTGCATCCTCCAAATATAGACGGGCAATCTTCAAGTATGTCTCGAGTTTATAATCTGTTGTATATTGCCTGTAACATATTAAAAATTTGACAATACATACATTGTATACTTTATTCCATAGAAAACTTCTGAATTATAAACCAGTGATTTTTTCCCTATATTTTACAAATGATTAAAGGCTTTTTCCCCCTAGCCCAAAATAGGTATATTTACCCCTCAACTGCTATACTTTCCCCTGAAATGCCTTATGCACATTCTTAACCAGAACCAGCTGACTTATATTAGTAAGTCGACAAATATAATGATTGAAGGACAGAAAGCTGTCCCTATAGATAGCCTTTGCTAATTCCATGCATGTTAAAATTGATTTAAAACAGAATGTGCAGATAAATTCCATTCTCAACTGTTGGAAATTAATTTAAGGTAACTGGTTTTCATTTTTTTCTGTGTTATCATTATATTTCCCCTTCAGAAAGCCACAGGTTGTTTTGAAAATTGAAAACAAGATCACTGTAAAAGGACCATCTACATAATGCAAGTACAAATCATTGCAGTTCGGTTTTTGCTTTATTTTTTAGAAACAAAGGACAAATAAATATATCTGGAGTTCACTCCAGTTAATTAAAGCTAAAAGACCTTCTTCATTTCCCTTTAAGATTTTTTTTTTATATTATTCGAGTCCTCTGGTCCTCATAATATTTGGTAGATAAATGGCATATTAATACCAACATGTGTAACATCTGAATCAGTTACCACTTAATACATAACATATACAATTTATCGTTAAGATTCACAGTAAACTTGTAATATATTTTCTGAATTGGCAGAGTTTTTGAAGTCAGAAAACACAACCATGCTTATATAGCATTCTGTGCATTGTAATGTATAGGCAGACTGTTCTAAACAATTTGGTATTTCAGGCAGGTGCAAGAGGCACCTGAATGAAATGACCTTCCTTGTGGCAGCTTGATGGATTACCCCCTCGCATAGAAGATTTAACTTATAAGTACATGTACAGGGTTGCAAACCTCGAGATTAGATATTAGTGATTCAACATGACGGTAAATTAAACACTCGTCTAAGATGGCCTGGTACCATTTTTCATAACTTAAAATCTTAATCATAAATGTAATATAGCCTTTTAAACTTATTATTAATGTAATATAAGCTTTAAAACTTACTATAAATGTAGTATAACCTTTAAAACCAGCATATATAACCTTAACTATAAATAAATGTATATAACCTTAACTTAAAACATCATAAATAAATATTGTACATTTAGTCACAATAATGTATAAATCTTACTTTTGTCCAGTTTCTAATGGAATTCCTACAAGTATATTAGCTGCTTCCTTCCAGGACCCTTCTCTTTCATAAATATCTGCTAGATGTTGTCTGATAGCAGCCACCTGATAAATGTAAAAAATTATAGTAAATGAAACAATATTTATTATACAGTTCATATAATAATTACAGCTATTATGTTTAGTATTATGTTATGTTTAGTTTAATTACAATTTTCTATTATTTTGTTAATGGATACTATATACATTGTGTAAACAAGAGGGCCATGATGGCCCTGAATCGCTCACCTGAATATAAAAACTCTCCATGACAAGGAACAAGTAATATTGTTAACTATGAACAAAAGCAGATATAAAATCTTAATCTTAAACTCATATCATACAGTTCAAATCTGTATCTGAAATAGTGCATGTGTAAAAACGTTACTTGTTTACTGGTTACTATTGCTAAGGGAAAAAAACAGTTCCAAAAGATGTGTACATATAAAGAAAATCAATGACCCCCCCCCCCCCCCCCCCCCCCCCCCCCCCCCCCCCCCCCCCCCCCCCCCCCCCCCCCCCCCCCCCCCCACCCCCCCCCCCCCGGCCGGCCAATTTGACCTTGAACTTGGTAGACACTCAATAGAAGATGTTTCATGCTTAATAGCTACCTATTACCTCTAGCTATTTGGGTTTTTAAAAGAAGATTTTTTAAGTTTTTACTCTATACATGTAAGAAAAATCAGTGACCCCCAGTGGCCGGCCAATTTTGACCCCAGGGCTTTTATTTGGACAAAATTGGTAGACACTCACTAGAAGATGTTTCATGCCAAATATCTAAGCTCTAGCTGTTTGGGTTCTTTAAAAGCATTTTTTTTAATTTTTCTTTCTTTCAGATGCCATGGCAACCAGAGTTCTGCATGGAATTAAATTCTTTGAACAATTTTTAAAGGTGACCACCAAAGGAACATTACTGTGAAATTTAGATGAAATTGGCTTAGTGGTTTTACAGTTTATGGGGAGATGTCATTTAAAGAAAAAGTTTACGGACAGAGGGACACCGGACATATTGTGATCACAAGAGCTCACCTTGTCAAGTTTATCTGGTGGTGAGAGACCAAAGGTTTGCCTTTGTACTCAATTTCAAAAATGATTGGGAACCCCAAATATAGCCTCTGACCTACTCTTCCACTTAATCATTCAAACATTTGTTTTCTATTTTTAGTTGGAGTTTTATGTCACACATCACTTTCATTAAAGCTTCCTTTTTATTTTCCAGCAAATATGCCTTAAAGTCACAGGTAATTGTACAGGGGTTTAGAACTTTGCAAGCTTGACATATGAATGAATAAGATTTAAAATGAATTAAATGCATAAAAATTTCACTTAAATAAGCTGTATCTTGAAATTTAGAAAGAACTGGCACCACATTTATAATACAAAACTGGCCTTTGTTTCAATACTCATCAATTAATTCAATACATTTGCATTATTAGGTTTGAAGACAAAAAATTGAAATTCCTTTAATTTGACACTACCTGCTCCTCAAATGATATGACTCTTGCTTGAACTTTCTCAAGGGTGAAGTGGGCAACCTGTTTGGCAATACCATCTTCTAGTTGCAGTAAATGTGTGCAGAAATCACTCAGTAACTGTCGAGAAATCACTAAGCTGACAACTTCATTCAACACTGAAAAGTGAATTCCAATTTCATTTATATAAGTCAGTGTTTTTTGGCCAAAATTTGGAGGCCAACATCTCAATTTTTTTGATCATTTCACAAAACAAAAAAGTAAACAAAAGAAATAAATTCATTTATTATTCAACCTGAAATTTCAGTATCTTCTACAGTTCTGGATGACTAAAGAACACAACTATTTTGTAATTTTTTTTACTTATAGATTGTGATTATCAATATCGTTGCTTTCATGTCCCATTATGATTACAAATTGCAGTGCAATTACCCTCCTTTTAAATAGGACTAGCATTGATCCATTCTCCCCAATGCTGAAATTATCTTAATGGAAAAATCAGATAGTTCCTTTTCCTGCATTATTTAAAGCATGAAAAAAAAGAAACTTTAAGAGAGCTATTTCATAAATTGCATTTATAGCATTATCATACAAAAAAAATTCAACATAACATGCACTGGAGAACTGTTTTTTATTGTTGTATTTTTGCTCAGTAGTTTAAAGTGTTGTTACTTATGCCCTAGTAAGTGGGAGATCACAAATTCTAAAATACAAAAAACTTTTCTCATCATAAAGTGATAAATGTGGTAATGGCAAAGTATAATGATATAAATAAAGAAATAATGCAATTACAAGCTTCCACGAAGATCTGAAGCTGTTGTATGAAGTCTGGACATCCATTTGCTTTAAAGATTCCATCAAGTATTCCTTTGTATCTGAAAGTACACAAAGAGTCTTATAAAATTTGAAAAACATTTCAATATTCAAAATTTCAAATGCTTAACATATGGACAGGACTGTTCTATTTTTTTCAAGCATATGATCATTAGATAGAACTATTTGGTCAAAGAACATGTCCACCTCTTCCATGTTATGAAAAATTTACAGACAAGTTAAGGTCTTACTGATACTATCAACATAAACTATCAATGTCAATTTAAAGCTGCATGCCTCCAGCTAGATGAGCCAAAATAGTTCAAAAAAATCAATATTGAGAAAAATGCACTAAACTTTTAAGAAAGGTAAAAACATTTAAGATCCCATTTATATTTTACATGTTATGTGCGGTTTAACACTGATTTTGCAGTATTTTATTACCATATTTCTACTGCGTTACTAACGCAGTAAGGGCTGTTTTTTGCATTATGTTGACCAACTTTTGGTAATTTTCATGGATAATCAATTGCAAGTGCTGATTGCAATATGTTAATTACAATATTTGTTCACCTCACATTATTTTACTTTTAAATACATTTCCAAAAATTTTATGAAAATTAACATGAATCTGGAGGCGTGCTGCTTTAAGAACAAAGGTGACAAATATAAACTATCAACTTAAACTATCAATGTCAACTTAAGAACTGGAAGGTCTATCCTAAAAAATTGTTGTGTTCAAGTTAGAAGACAATCCAGTCAAAAATAACAAAGTTATTGCCATTTATAGCAAAAATCTGCAAAAGTTAAGCAAAATTCATACATTTGACCTTGAAGGTCAAGGTCATTTAAGAATAAAGGTCAAGTTTAGTCTGGCCTACTTTAAAATATTGTCCCAAGGCTTCTTATGGCCAAGTATGAAGACAATATACCAAGGACTTAAAAGGTTATGATAAAGGCTCAAGTTTTTGGATGGCAACATCTCCATGACTGTAACAAAACCTTTTTTTTCTTCAAAAACCAGGCTAGCTAAACATGCACAAGTTAAACAGCTTTAGGTAGTCAAAACTAATTACTCTGGGATAATTATGAAGTTCCCCTCTAGGGTATATGCTAGATGCACAGTCCCACCTTTCTGTCTATAATGAAATACATCTCACATGTTTCACCTTCATTTGTGTAAATGACAAAACCAAAAAAAAAAAAAATAGCGAGCTGCAAAGCCAGCTTTACGGTAACGCAAGAACCTGCTAGATAGTGGTGGTTTTGAAAAATTTCGTCAGGAGTACTAATTTGACACATCGCAACTTTTCGAATTAGAAGATAACGATAAAAACCGAGGTATTCTGATTGAAACGGATTGCGTAAACTGGTATTCTGCACACTTCTATTGGAACCATAATAGGACAGGAACCAGAGTAAACTGAAGCAGTGTATAAAATACCGAATGGCATTTTTAAACCGGAAAATGTAAAATAAAAATTTACAATTATTTTATACTATTTCATGGTAAAAGTAATTCAAGCTCGCTTTGAGGCTTTGCCTTTTTCATAGTGAGCTCGAAGAGCTGGCCCAAAGGGCATGCTTGAAAAGTGAGCTTTACAGTAACGCAAGTACCTGCTAGAGTGATCGATGGTTTTGAAAACTTTCGTCCGAAGTACCGAATTGACACATCCCAACTTTTTGAATTTCAAGATAACAATAAAAGCTGAGGTATTCTGATTGAAAACAGAAGCATAGACTGGTATCCTGCGCACTTAAATGGGAACCATAATACGACAGGGAATCAGAATAAACGGAAGCAGTGTATAAAATACGAAAAGACAATTTTAAAACGGAAAATGTAAAATAAAAATGAACGATTATTTTATACTCTAATCTTTCACAGTAAAAGAAAATCGAGCTCGCTTTGAGGCTTTGACTTTTTTGTTATTATTAGGGGGTGAAGTGTCTGGGACTCTCAAACAGATTTCACAAAAACGGAGATGAAGTGTCTGCAAAAAAAAGCCTTGGGGCGAGGTGTCGGAGGGATGAACTGTCTGAAAACCCTTGTGACATTCAAAGTACAAACCCCACAGAAACAAGATATGTTTGTAAAACATGTATGCCCCCTATCAGCAGCCAATTAGTCATGTGATAAGGCTATTATGCATGACGTCTGACCCAGTGATCAAACAATTAATAAGGGTTATAAAGTATCTACTGGTCATGACCTTGACCTTTGACCCCTTGACCCAAAACTCAATAGGGGTCATCTGCTGGTCACGACCAATCATCATACAAAGTTTGAAGTTCCTAGGCCTAGGCGTTTTTAGTAAATTGATCAGAAACCGTTTTTACCTACAAGGTCAATGTGACCTTGACCTTTGACCCCTTGACCCCAAAATCAATAGGGGTCATCTGCTGGTCATGACCAATCACCATGCCAAGTTTGAAGTTCTTAGGCCTAAGGGTTCTCTTATTATTGATCGGAAACCGTTTTAACATACAAGGTCAATGTGACCTTGACCTTTGACCCCAAAATCAATAGGGGTCATTTGCTGGTCATGACCAATCACCATGCCAAGTTTGAAGTTTCTAGGCCGAAGCGTTCTTTAGTTATTGATCAGAAACCGTTTTTACTTACAAGGTCATTGTGACCTTGACCTTTGACCCCTTGATCCCAAAATCAATAGGAGTAATCTGCTGGTCATGACAAATCACCATACCAAGTTTGAAGTTCCTAGGCCTAAGCGTTCTTGAGTTATTGATCAGAAACCGTTTTTACTTAAAAGGTCAATGTGACCTTGACCTTTGACCCCTTCACCTAAAACTCAATAGGGGTCATCTGCTGGTCATGACCAATCATCACACAAAGTTTGAAGTTCCTAGGCCTAAGCGTTTTTAGTTAATTGATCGGAAACCGTTTTTACCTACAAGGTCAATGTGACCTTGACCTTTGACCCTTGACCCCAAAATCAATAGGTCATCTGCTGGTCATGACCAATCACCATACCAAGTTTGAAGTTCCTAGGCATAAGGGTTCTTAAGTTATTGATCCGAAAGCATTTTTACCTACAAGGTCAATGTGACCTTGACCTTTGACCCCTAGACCCCAAAATCAATAGGGGTCATCTACTGATCATGACCAATCACCATCTCAAGTTTTAAGTCCCTAGGCCTAAGGGTTCTTTCATTATTGATCGGAAACCGTTTTTACCTACAAGGTCAATGTGACCCTGACCTTTGACCCCTTAACGCCAAAATCAATAGGGGTCATCTGATTGGTCATTACCAATCACCATACCAAGTTTGAAGTTCCTAGGCCTAAGGGTTCTTTTGTTATTGATCAGAAACCGTTTTTAATTAAAAGGTCAATGTGACCTTGACCTTTGACCCCTTGACCCCAAAATCTATACGGGTCATCTACTGATCATGACCAATCACCATACCAAGTTTGAAGTTCCTAGGCCTTAAGGTTCTTTAGTTATTGATCGGAAACCGTTTTTACGTACAAGGTCAATGTGACCTTGACCTTTGACCCCTTGACCCCAAAATCAATAGGGGTCATCTACTGATCATGACCAATCACCATACCAAGTTTAATGTTCCTAAGCCTTAAGGTTCTTTAGGTATTGATCGGAAACCGTTTTTACCTACAAGGTCAATGCGACCTTGACCTTTGACCCCTTGACCCCAAAATCAATAGGGGTCATCTACTGATCATGACCAATCACTATACCAAGTTTGAAGTTCCTAGGCCTTCAGGTTCTTTAGTTATTGATCGGAAACCGTTTTTGCTTTTAAGGTCAATGTGACCTTGACCTTTGACCCCTTGACCCAAAATCAATAGGGTCATCTACTGGTCATGACCAATCACCATACCAAGTTTGAAGTTCCTAGGCCTTAAGGTTCTTTAGTTATTGATCGGAAACTGTTTTTGCTTTCAAGGTCAATGTGACCTTGACCTTTGACCCCTTGACTACAAAATCAATAGGGGTCATCTACTGGTCATGACCAATCACCATACCAAGTTTGAAGTTCCTAGGCCTTAAGGTTCTTTAGTTATTGATCGGAAACCGTTTTTGCTTTCAAGGTCAATGTGACCTTGACCTTTGACCCCTTGACTCCAAAATCAATAGGGGTCATCTACTGGTCATGACCAATCACCATACCAAGTTTGAAGTTCCTAGGCCTTAAGGTTCTTTAGTTATTGATCGGAAACCGTTTTTGCTTTCAAGGTCAATGTGACCTTGACCTTTGACCCCTTGACTCCAAAATCAATAGGGGTCATTTACTGGTCATGACCAATCACCATACCAAGTTTGAAGTTCCTAGGCCTTAAGGTTCTTTAGTTATTGATCGGAAACCGTTTTTGCTTTCAAGGTCAATGTGACCTTGACCTTTGACCCCTTGACCCCAAAATCAATAGGGGTCATTTACTGGTCATGACCAATCACCATACCAAGTTTGAAGTTCCTAGGCCTTAAGGTTCTTTAGTTATTGATCGGAAACGGTTTTTGCTTTCAAGGTCAATGTGACCTTGACCTTTGACCCCTTGACCCCAAAATCAATAGGGGTCATCTACTGGTCATGACCAATCACCATACCAAGTTTGAAGTTCCTAGGCCTTAAGGTTCTTTAGTTATTGATCGGAAACCGTTTTTGCTTTCAAGGTCAATGTGACCTTGACCTTTGACCCCTTGACCCCAAAATCAATAGGGGTCATCTACTGGTCATGACCAATCACCATACCAAGTTTGAAGTTCCTAGGCCTAAGGGTTCTTTAGTTATCACTCGGAAACCATTTGGTCTACGGACCGACGGACCGACGGACCGACAAGTGCAAAGCAATATACCCCCTTTTTTTCAAAATGGGGGCATAATTAATGACAGAATAGCCCTATTAATTACAAATATAGGGAAATTTCGGTTAAATGTTTAGGACATGTTTGGGGCCGAAACCACAGGGAAATCTGTCATTATTTTATTAAATCTATATATATAATATAAACAAGGGATACAAGTCGTGGCCTCGCACTACCAGCATGGGTTCGTAAAATGCATTCACACGTGTAAACTGTATAAAATATCCTCTATTCCATCAAAGTTATTGTAGAAGTTAATATATGAACGAGTCATTAGAGCTGTCATTGATTCAGTGCAAAGCATATCAACGATATATCGATATCAAGTAACTAAAATCAACAATACACCGATATATCGATAATATCCTATACTCACTTGTCTGTCATTCATTTTCATACCTGTTTCAATGATTTCAGTCAAAAACATGTTCTGTACAGTGTCTTGTCCACTGCATGATTTTTTCTAGACAATATTTTTTGTCACCATTGCTATGAAATAATTCCACTATATAACAAAAGCATCACATTTGATATAAATAATTGTTTCTGCATATATTTTGGGTGAATTGTATAATTTCTAGACATTTAATTTATAAGTCAAAAGTATCGATTTTTGAAAATGTGTATCGATTATTGATCGACAAAAAAATATCAACGATACATCGATATTGTCGATATCGATGACAGCTCTACGAGTCATTACCAAAGTTCTACTACAAACACTTCATTAAAACCTGTAACATTGCAGGAAATAGCTAACATTTCAATATTTACATTGGCTGTCAAGTTGTCGTCCATTTTGCAGGTGTGTTTATGTTCCGAGTATTTTCATTGGCTGATGAAAAAAACGCTATTTGTCGCGGCTATATGCCATTATTATCCGGATTATTATTATTCATTAGCCAATGAAATTGACAGTTTCTAACAAAAGTTGGATTTACGCATGGAACATACGGGCAACATCAAAATGGAAGCCGAGGATAGAAATTATCAAAACAAACAATAATTGTTACAATAATTTGTACCAGAAGACAATGATTGCATCATTCTTGGTGGTACATGATTGATTTTTACCGATTACATGATTAAACTTTCTTATATGATCATACTGGTTGGGGAAATAACTTCGGCTGGTTGATAAACTCGGCTTTTAATAATTAAATCGAGTTATCGCAATTTTTTATCTAATCAAGCTCACCATCTCGTACTATCGCTGGAATTCGACAATATCTGGACATTTGGTCAAGTTTGGTAAGATGTTTAAAAAATAACACAGACTTTTACCTGTTTGTTTACAAAACATGCCTATAAAGAGTACGGGAATCCCATTGTTGTGCGCATGTGCAGCAGATGCTCATTTTGAGGCCTGCACGGGGGTACTTTTATAAATTGACAGACTACCGGTAAAGCAGACAACGTGTACGTATACATTTTGTAGATGAAATTCAGACTCACTTTTGTCTTGCTAACTCAGAAAAAAGGCTGATTACACAATTGTAATCTTTAAGTGAAATGGATTGAAAGACTGATGTTAAATGATCCTTTGATATGTTAATGTGTAGGTTGAATACCACTAAATTAATTACTTCTTCACTCTGTTAAGCTAAGCAAAAATAAATTTGAATCAATAATACTTTAACTACATATTTTGTTATACGTTAATAAATGGTAATGCATGTGTTTTTACGTATAAATGATTTATATGTTACATAGTACGTTGCATATAAATATCGTGTTATCAGAGATATTCATTATACTAACGTGATGCTCAACAATTTTGGTAACAAATATTTTTTATTTGACATAAATGAACAGCAAAGAAAAAATAAAATATCTAAACCTGTTATTTTACGTTTTAACTTACTCATTTAAGAAGAAAAACAAAGAGCCGGAATTATCTACTCGCGCGCGTTAAAAATATCCTTTTTACCTACCTCTTCCAGGGCCTCTCAAACTTACCCGTTATGTTTCTAAATATAACTTTTATGGTGATACCTGAAAATCGAAGAGCTGAAGTTTATTTTGGTGCAAGATTCATCAGAATACGTAAACAAATAAATGAAATATGCCCCCAAAACACTGATTTTCGGCCGAGTTTATCTCCCAAACCAGTACGTTTGCATTAGATGTCGTTTTACACGTGTAATTTTACAAACCCAAATTTTACGAACGTGTGTAAAAATGAAACATGAAAGGTTATTTTTAATAATAGATCTATCTTGTCCATGTAACAAAGTGTGTCATTTTTTTTTGAAATTATCGATTCTTTCATCAATGTCCAACAATCAAAAGAAAAAAAACTGTTGTATACTGCGTTATATTTACTTTTTCATGAATTGAGCAATTTTGAGTTGTATCCCTTGTTATATTATACACATAGTGGGAAAGGAAAAAACATGACAGAATCCCCTGTGGCCGAAACGTCCTGTTTGCCTTTTTTGATAGCAGAAAAGAATCGGCTTGTGTCGGTGTCACTCAACGCTTGTGATAAACAAAACCCCAAATATTAATTTTCAAAACTATGCATCAATTTTGACTCAAACTATAAGTGTTCAAATTATCATTGAAAAAATCTCCAATTACTTTTCTATGACATCCTTTGAATGTGACAAGTTTGCAAGTAGCGCAAGTTGCTGTTTGACGTTCGCCGCCATTGTTAAAGCGTTTGCTAACCTCGATTTTAAAATACGGCATACGTACGTAAACAACCCTAGAGGTTCTAAGGTACTAAAAATGGTTTGTTATCTATTCTACATAATTTTGTTGCTAAATAAAATCTTTTAATTATGGATATATAACAGGCTTTCTCATTGGTCCTTGTTAGGTTAAAGGTTAATTTCACGCTTGACAGTTTCCATAGTATTTGTATTACTACGCCTTTTCTTATAAATAGTCGTTTTTGGCGCTATTTTGGTTACAGTTTTGTAAGACACGTTTGTTGATTGACGCTTTAGGAAAAAATTATCTTAGACATTCCAACACGTCGGCTTTTGCGGAAGGAACTAATAAGAATCTGCGTATTCAGTGGGAAAGTTTTATAATTTTTTGTTTATATTTTAAATTGGGATTTTTACCTGCATCTACTGTTACTCTACAATTGTATGCTCAATTTTTGAGCAGATCTTTTGTTTCCGTTGAGAGCATTAAGAATTATATAAGTGGTGTCAAAACCTTGCATTTGTGTTTAGGTTATAATATTGACCATATTAACATGTATTTATTAAATTTGTCTTTCAAGGGTTTACATAGATTAAAGCATAGATTAGTTAAGAAGGCCGAACCCATAACTTTGGGTATTTTGCTACAAATTCGTGAGGTTTTAGATTTCTCTGTTGCAGATAATTTAGTTTATTGGTGTTTGTTTTTATTTGCATTTTTTCTTGTCGCTAGAAAATCTAATTTGGTTCCCACAAATTTTTCTGATATTGTCAAAGGTCGATTTTTAAGTAAAGATAGTGTTCGTTATTATGGTAATTATATTTTAGTTCATTTTAATTGGTCAAAAACAAATCAATATGGAGAAAGAGAAGTTATTAGTCCTTTGTTAAGACTCAAGGATGTTAGATTATGCCCTGTGGTTGCATATGAAAATATGCTTGCCTTAAAGTTAAGCAATAATAATAATGTTTTATTTTCTCTTTCAAATGGTTCATATGTTTCATATTATTTATTTCAAAAGAAATTAAGGGAATGTATTGTCTTAATTGGTTTACCTCCTGAAAATTTTTCTTCTCATTCGTTTAGAAGGGGTTTTGCTACCCTAGCTCATCGTTCGAATATTTCTCCAGAGCATATTCAACTTTTAGGTGATTGGAAATCTGATGCATATAAATCTTATTTGGAACTGAATTGGTCTGATAAGGCAAACATTTTATCCAAAATGTTTGAGACATTATAAGTTGTTTATGTTATAGAGTTGGTTTTTTCTCTTTACAGATGTGCAAGTTCACATTATATCCGATTCTATAGCTAAACATGTGGATGGGATTTGGCATACCAAAGTGTTAGCTTTTCCAGGCATCAATTTAGTTCGATTGACTTCTAGGATTCAGCGTGATCATTCCTTAGTGCAAAAACGTTTCACCATCATACATGTTGGCACTAACGATATTAATTCAAGCGATAATTTGTCAGTAGATCAGATTTTAAGCTATTTTAATAATTTGATCACAGTTATTCGTGATATATCTTCTACTTATATTGTTTTCTCTAGTATTTTACCTCGGCCTGTGGATTATTCTCATACAAATGTTAAGGTGAAGTTGGTTAATCAGAGGTTAGAGGCTAAATGTAAGGAACGTAAATGCCAATTCATCCATTCATTTCGACCCTTTTTTCATGGTGGGAAGCCCATTTCTGATTTATTTGCAGTTAGAGATGGTGGGTTACACTTAAATTTTGAAGGAACTCGGTTTTTGCGTAGGTTCTTTATAACCACTTTTTCTCATTTATTGAAGGGTAAATTTGCCATGTAAATTGATTAATTTAACCTTGCTACCAGCAAGTAGTGCAGATCTGTCGTTTATATAGAAAGCTTTGTTATAGTAGATAAGCTTATTTCTTGTATCTACTAGGTTGCTTTTTAGTCGTTGTTGTTATTTAGGGGTTTGAAATGCCTTGAGATATGTTTGTATATTTGATGTGCTTTGTATTTTATTGTTATTGTTGAACATTGTGATATTGGTCTTTTGGGTTAATTTCATTAAGGTCGGGATTTGAAGGAAGTATATTATTCCTTTAATCCTTTTGTGGTAATCTATGGTGGAAGTATCTGTATTTTATCTAGGTTTGTTCCCTTTTAAAGAAGGTATTATACTTCTTTGAGGGTTATAGAACAATTGATAATGGTATCTGTATGTTATCTTTGTTCTTTTGGTTTTTTGAGATTAATATCACAATGTTTCATTTTGTTCATTTGATTCTTGTCATTGCTATTAGCCTGTTTTGTTTAATGTTTGTAATTTGTTTATTTAAAGTTGCATACCTTCAATTGATGTTATGTTTAGTAATTTACCTTCGGTAACAGATTGGTTTGTTGTTTCCAATTTCATTTTGTCATAGCTATAGCATTCCGTATGTATTTGAAGGTGTGCCGCTTTAAAGTTTGTATATGTGTTAAAAGTAATGTATAATTTTCATTTGCTTTCGTTTTTGTTAGTTTATTTATTTATTTTTGCTTTTTTTTTGGCCGGGAGTTGGCGGATTTGTAGTATTCATATTAGTTATTTAGCTGTTAATGGTCACTGTTACTTAATTCGATGAAGTAATGTTATTCATCATGTGACTATCTGTTATAATAGAATTGTCATAACTAGTATGAATTATTTAGGATAATCATTTTGTGTATTATTCATTTTATGCCTTTGTGAATTAATAACGTGTCTTCCTGCTCTATTAAAATTGATTATCTCTTATTTCGAGTTTCTGGTTATGACATAATTTGAAGCATTTTGTTGCTAAATAAAATCTTTTAATTATGGATATATAACAGGCTTTCTCATTGGTCCTTGTTAGGTTAAAGGTTAATTTCACGCTTGACAGTTTCCATAGTATTTGTATTACTACGCCTTTTCTTATAAATAGTCGTTTTTGGCGCTATTTTGGTTACAGTTTTGTAAGACACGTTTGTTGATTGACGCTTTAGGAAAAATTTGCCACTCCCTCCCACCCTTTTTTCTAATTTGTGTGTATTGTATGCTTGTATTTTGTTTGTTTCTTTTGCCATGTTCTTTTGTTAATGAATTTCTTCCGCTTTATGTACATGTGCATTTGTTGACTTTTGTTTTAGCTTTCAATGTATACTGTTACACGTATATGCAGGGGTTAATCATTTGTGTGTATAATGCTTGCCTTCAGGTATATTTGTATAGTCTTGTATTATTTAGGTTGTATTGTCTTTTATATGTCTTTATTTCTGGCGGATTTGTAGTATTCATATTAGTTATTTAGCTGTTAATGGTCACTGTTACTTAATTCGATGAAGTAATGTTATTCATCATGTGACTATCTGTTATAATAGAATTGTCATAACTAGTATGAATTATTTAGGATAATCATTTTGTGTATTATTCATTTTATGCCTTTGTGAATTAATAACGTGTCTTCCTGCTCTATTAAAATTGATTATCTCTTATTTCGAGTTTCTGGTTATGACATAATTATTTATGGAAATAGAAATGGAACTTCTCCAAGGTCCTGATTAAGGTATCCAAAACATGGTTTTTTACCCCACAAATAAGTTTTACGTAAAAAATAGCAGATTAATCAGAAGCAATCTTTACATTTTATTTGCTTGATCTATCTTTTGTTGATATTTCAACTTCTTTTCAAAAATGTTTCCAGAGTCAGTGGTTTGTAGTCAAGATAATTCTAACTACCTGATTGTAGTTATGTTAAAAGAACATTTTGGGCATTTTTTGTAAACAAAAAGAGAATAATATTTGACACACATAAAAATATTTACCAGATTTAAAAATATAATCACATTTTGTCCTGCTCCTATATTACTAGGTGGCCATGTGCTTGCTTCTTGAAAAATAAAGTTAAAACAATTATTTTTTATCAAGTGTCGCTTTGTAACAGTAAAACAGCATTTTTAAAATTAAATAAAAGATAGGAATTTGATTTAACTTGTTTGAGATAAGCAAATTTATTTTATGAGCAATGAAGATGAAATAATCGTAAAACAATTTGCAGATTTTATTTGAACTGTTATAACTCAGAAATAATATTAAGAAAATGTATATTAATTTAACTCGATCAGTATTTGTGTTTTTGAGAGACAGTGTAGTTCTCATTGAATTCAAATTATTAATTACCACCTACTGTATACTTTGGTTTAGTTAGTTTGAGAATGCTTCTTTCCAGTAGAGCTACACAAAAGGTATAATCTTTATCTTTTTTGTAACTATTTGTAATTTAGAAGAATACCTGAATTAAGATACAACAATACATCTTTTTTGTTGATAATATTCTACAATGTATGCTGATAAAATTTCATTACAATACACGTTGATGTTCAAGAGATATTTAAAAAGTCCACGAATTTTTGGATAACCCCTCGTAAGTATCATGATATTTGTTAAACATGATGTTTAATAGTCAAGTCTAGTTAGAATTTAGTTTATAAGTTATTTTGTTATTTTTTTCAGTTTATTGTTATTGCTATAAAATGAATAAACTTCTAATTTCTTTAACAACTTTATTTAATCTTTGATATCATTATTATTGTGATTTATATGTCATCTATCATGACCTTTAATTGGAATTAAAAGTTATTCTATTCTAGTTTATTAAAATTAACCATGCTGAAAACTCATAACGATCAACACGTGACACTTACATCATAGTTTTTTCTATACCAACAATAAATAAACCCAATTACTGCTTTTGAATTCAAACAAAAGACTTTCATGACTTTTGGTGACAAACTACTTGTAGTTCTTTTATCGACTTCATTTGCAATGCTTTTATAACACTATAAATGAATTATTCCCTAATATTATCTTACTATTTGAGCATGCAAGTAGATTACTGATGGGAAAGCTATCATAAAATATGAATTTTACTTTCAGCTTTTGTCGGATTTAATGAAAATGATATAATATATTTTACTCAGGGTCATGCTCATTTCGGAAAAGATTTTGGGACTTTTGGACCATGATTGGGCCACTTCGAGTCGGATGTTTTTGGGTTTAA